TTTATTTTTTACACTGAACCTTGTGGTAGGTTCGTTTGTTACTTTCGTTACTCCGAATACCATATAACCGTGTGGAAATAGACATCGAGAAAGAAGAAAACCGAACCGAAGAATTTCTTAAAAACGTATCGTCGGGTGGAAAATTGCCAGTTTTAATTTTACCAAGAGATTATCACCAGAAATTATCTTCCCGCACCTCTAAAAAGAACGATACCATCGCTGAATCAGCCGCGACACCTAAAAAGGTCGTTATCGACGATGAAGTAGCATCTCTATCACCGTTCAGACCTTCTGATGATATAGACCTCAATCCCAAAATTCCGGATGATGGTATCACATTTACCGAATCCAATGCGATTCTCACCCTTCTTTCGGAGGGTACATCGTTGTTTCCGAGGGATCCGATCGATCGAGCTCAAGTGATGCAATGGTTATTCTGGGAACAATATTCCCTAACGCCAAATATATCGCCTTTGCGCAGGTGGATCACTTACATGGGGGTTGGAGAAGAATCCGAATATTTGGATCGAATCGTTGAAAAGCAGAAGCAAGGTTACGAAGCTTTACACTTAATGGAAGAACATTTGAGAGAGAGAAAATTTTTTGTCGGCGAGGCGTTTACCATCGTTGACATCGCTTTGTACGCCTACACACATGTTGGCGAAGAAGGTAATGATCGTCTCTTCTCATCAGTCGTCGTTCGTTACGGTCAGGGTCAGGGTCAGTGACAAGAAAGAATCTTTACTTGTTGCAGCCGGTTATTCTGTCGATAGCTTCCCAATGATAAGAGCTTGGTTTCATCGGGTGGAACAAATGGCCGGTTTCATCCCTATTAACGACTGACATCTTGATAAAGCGAAATTTCAAGTTTATGTCACACCACTTAACCTTGTAAAACCATGTTGAACACGAAAAGTAAGCTTAAAAGAGAAAATGCAATGCTAAAGGTACGTATATTGAGATATTAATAAAATAATATTAAAAATACAAATATTTATATTAAGTATGTTACATGCATACGTATATACTTTAAAATTTCAATTACGTATATACTATGGCATATGGGATTGGTGTATAGGTGAATATTTGGAAAAAAATGACCCATCTATTAATCTATTTAAAACTATACAAATTTAATGGTGGGATTTGATGATCCCTGCTTAAAAAAAGTGTTGGCGTAATTGTAATGTTAATGTTCACATTGTTTATTCGTCATATTTCGTTTTAAAAATCCAAGAATTTCCCAGAATTCCTGAACCCTGAGCAGCAGCCATTCGATAATACCTAGCGGCCTTCTTCATATCCTGTTGTAAAGTGAAATTGTGAATAAACGAGATCACCAAATCTCCGAGCGAGAAAGATCAACGAGTAACGAAATTTACCTTTTTAACGCCTTCGCCACGATAGTAACAAAATCCTATATCATTCTGTGCATCTGGATCACCAAGATTTGCCGCTATTTCAAAGTAATAGGCCGCCGATTGTTTATTCTTTGGCACTCCCCACCCATGACGGAAACATACCCCTATAATAATAATAATTAAGTGGAAATCAGACCGTGTAACGCGTTTGTGTAACCACGTGTTTTCGACTTTGATTTGAGAATGAAAAAATGGTTGCACATCTTGGTCACATTCTTCATACCTAATTCGTAAATCGCCAACACCAACTCATGACGAGCAATACTTGGATTTGCAGCCACCGAAGTGTGAAGGTCGGAAACGGCAGACTCCGCTGCCCTCTGTAGGTATCGCACTGCGAGTTTGACATTCGGCTTGCAACCCTGTCAACGGACGAAGAAAAAACCGATGAGACAGATGAAAAGAAGTAGAATAATTTTGAAATGCAACCTGAAAGGAAAAAAAAAAAAAAAAAAAAATACACACCCATCCATGTCTCAACGAAATACCGTATAAGAATAATCCCAGAGGGCTATCCTTATCAGCAGCCAATTTAAAATAATAAGTAGCCTTTTCTAATTCATTTGCCTCGTGATATTGTATTGCTTTCTGTATAAATTCGTCGGCTTCATTCTGTCGAGTGGTTGGCGATTGTGAAACTTCGATTTTGTTAGATGCTGTTGTTGAGAGAGATGATTCGTTGTTTGGTTTCAGATAAGTGGTGGTGGTAGGGTGGGGCCCGGATGGTGAATTGTTGAATTGAGATATAAGTTCATTTTTATTACTGCCATTGCTATTCCGGGAAGCATTTATGTCCAAATGTAAAGTTCCAGGATTTATCATGGAATCATCAGAATCGCTTCTAGGTGGCGGTTGCAGAGAACGGTGGGCACCACTTCGGTAAGAATGGCTACCACCAACATCCTTTTTCTTCTTCGAAGCATCTAACACACTGGAACCAGAATTTGTTCGACGAAAGGTTTTGTATTTTTGCGATTTTCTCTCCGAGTCTTCGGTGGCTGGGGAAGTTGTGTTCGGAGAGAAGATACGCTTTAACTTTTGCATTATTATTATTTTTTAAATGAATAAATTCTCTTTGCAAAAAAAGAGTGTAGATTGTACACGGTAAATTTAAGGAAAATTAATAATATAGGGGATAAAATAGTGTCAGGAGAAACAAAGGAAGCAGTAATCCTTTTGGGATGCGTTCACAAGAAAGAGAAGAACAAAGTATTCAAAGTATTGGTCAGAATATGCTGCCGAGGTTGAACAACCACTCAATGAGATAATGAACTTTGTTATTTTTCCAAAAAAAGTTGAGAGACAAGGTTGAGCGTTCAAAAGGTCTGTGAGGGATGAACAATTGATTTTATATCTTTTTATATCCGTTTGCACCTCTAATGTATATGTAACTGATCGTTTATAAATTTGTCACATATTAAATATAAATCAACACAATTACGTACGCATATATCGCATATATTATAATATGAAAATTGGTTTCAGATAAATATTCAAAATTTAGTGTGTGTAACGTTCACCGTGATATGTATACAGTATATCTCGGATAACAATGTGACGAATCGAATGAACGTGATGCGAATTTTAAGTGTGTGCATCAATAACTGCTTAAGTTAGATAAGTCAGTACGCACTAAGAAAGAAACGCTAATAGTGAACCGATCGCTTAAAACATGTTCCCATAAGACGTGCATATTGAGAAAAAGAGTATAATATATGCATGTGTTTCATATGCACGTGTGATGAATAATAAAAGAAGCGGCTTATTCTCTTCCATATATCTGCTCACATATACAGTATAAGCCTCTGGTACCTACAATCTACCGTTTGTTTCAAATGCATCACGGGCAAATTTATAACCTAAATTTGGTAAG